CCATTTTTTCTAAGTTCCGTTATTGAATATTATAGGTGTGTAAACTCAGCAAAATATTCTAATAGAGTCCAGTAGCCCATAATAGCATTGGGTCTTCTGTTATGTTTAGTTTCAATACAACATGCTAAGGATCTAAAAATTTTTCCTAACTTGAATCATAAAAACTCACAAGGAAAATAACTATAGCCAATTTTGTCTTACCTCTACACCACATGAGACCAAGGTTCAGCACACTTTGCAATGGATTAAGAAAACCAAGTCCTCATAAAATAATATTCCTCCTAAAATGACACACAAAACACAACTAGGAAAGGTGCTGTATAGTCTATTCAACTGTTTTAATTTGGGATAAGAGATGCTTAAACATGATTGTGGTTGGCTAGTTCTCAAGATTTTCATTTTATTGTCAAAACTGTTTATCTACCCATCCTTAAAACCCACATGTTTACTTATTCTGCTTTAAAACAAACACTGTAAAAAATACATCTACCTAGCTTTGGGCTCTTTATAGCTACAGAATGGCTAACTTCAATCATAACCAAATACTTTACTTTTCAGTAATAAAAAATAAATAACTTCGCAGACACAGTAAGTCAATGTGTAACTTCACTGGCATACTTAGTTGATTCAAACTGCTGTTAAGGTAGCCATACTATTCTGAGACATGCTACTGACTTTACATGTTAAATGCTTATTTTAAATTACATAACTCCTTTACCCTACTTTAAACCAAAATGAAGTAAAACCATGAACTGAAGTTATCACAAGGTAGACTAACACTCTCCAATCTTAGTGTGCTACTGGTGTTAGATTTTTTAACTACCTAGTTTAGTAGCCAGTACCCACCTCACACCCTTTTCCAGAAAATTCTAAGACCTTGGGTTAGTCCTTAAACTAACTAACATTTAAAAGTATTTTTTAAATGTCCATGGTACAAAGAAAAAGATAAACGAACTATAAAGTAACAATCTTAACATAAAACGCTTAACATATAGTAGAGTGGAAATAGTTTAATCCTAAATATGCAGATAACTGCATCAGAAATAACCAGCAAGAATTATTAATTTTAAGAGTGGGCGTGGTGGCCTGCGCCTTAATCCCAGCTCTTGGGAGGCTGTAAACAGTTGGATCATTATGAGTCCCATCTTGTAGTGAGACCCTAAACACCCTGTAGACCCTTCCGTAAAATAAAAAAAAAACAATTATTAATTTTAAAAAAACTTTTTTAATTCTTCAGTTTAGGCAGGGGAGATGGCTCAGTAGAATAAACGCTTCCCTGGCAAGCGCAAAGGCCTGCATTCAATCCCCGGTTCCACCAAAAGAAAAAGAGAGAGAGAGAGAGAGAGAGAGAGAGAGAGAGAGAGAGAGAGAGAGAGAGACAGTGAGTCCTTCCTCAGTTTATTTCACATGTGAAAATCTTTGTTAAACTTTGGTATGTACAAAAATGGGTCACTCTCAGGACATAGGAGAACCTGTACTATAACATCAAGTAATTCAGTTGTGTCCCAAATTTTCTGATCAAGGAGATTATGGGGCCACAGAGCAACGTGATCGATGATGTAGAGTGTGCCTAAGGAGAGTCACAGGGAGAGAAAACATTCTCTCAGGCTTTCACAGAGAGCAAATGGGTCAAGCAATGGCCGTGATTCATCCACATGGCTGACACTGACAAAGGATCTGCAAACTGTGGAACAGGGTTACAGGATAAATCCTGAGGGTACTTGACTGACCTTATCAGGTACAAAAGTTACATTTCTTGTTATATAGGTCTTGCTTTATGTTGGTCTTAACCATCCAGCAGAAAAGTATAAAAATGAGGTATATAAAGTGAAGTCATATTAATATGCTGAGCTGTGAAAGGCTCAAGTCAACAACTTCTGCAGATAACCCACTACTAATGTGGACTGCTGGACTGTGTTGGATTGTTTTGCTGAATTCATGCACCTATAGTATTTAGATATCAATGAAATACCCATCTGTAACAGGACTAGACCAAAAAAAAAGTGGATACAAAGGAAGGACTATTTTGTATCTGTATATACAGAATAGTTAGGATAGATATAAAGCTACTTTCTCTTAATTCATTGAATAGAAAGATTTGTACCAATAGTGTTTGGACAGCATGTCATCTCTGCATCTTGTACTATAGATTATCACTAAGAAGATAACAATGTGTAATGTAGTAATTATTGAAACTGTCCTATTAATCAGTTTTGAAACTGTCTCAATGCTATTTGTTTCTCAATAAAATAAAAAAATTTAAAAAGCAAAAATGGGTCACTTTGAAGATTCAGATGCACCTGGTTTTTGCATTCCATAGTCTAAATTAAAGGGCTTAATTATTTAAAACTAGAATGCTCAATAGTTAAGCATCTATCTATCCTGCCTAAGGCCCTAGGTTCAAATCCCAGTGCTACCAAATACAATTACACTAGCAAGTGGGAGGATAATTATTATTGCTGGATAGGATTTGTACTAAAAACAAAAGTATATCTGAATGTGCAATAAATTAGCATTTAACTATTCAAGTAACAATATTCTAATATTTTTTAATTTTTACAAAAAAATGAACTGTATTTTTATTCCAAAAAGACTAAGTTTGTTTTGAGAGAACTTCTAGCTTACTGCAAAACTCATGGCTGCAATCAAACTAAAGGAATGGAACTTTTCCCATAATAATTAGTATAAATCTTATTTTACTTTAAAAAAACAAAACTACTTAAATATTCTGTATTTACTGAAAGTAAGTTGCCAACTGCTTTGGTTCTATAAAGACAAATACCCTTTATATGTGTATACGTTTGTACTAAGAATTGAGATAAATTTGAAAGATAAAGAACAAGTCTGGAAAGATAAAGAGAGCACATGAGAAAATGCACAGGTTAAAAAAAAGAAAGAAACTCAACACAGGTTAAGTACCTTAATCCAAAATATTTGGGACCAAATGTGTTTCAGATTTTAGAAGGGTTTTTTTTTTTTTGTTTTGTTTTGTTTTTTCAGAATAATACAGCTACTTTCTCTTTATTCAATGAAAAGAAAGATTTGTACTAATAGTGTTTGGACAGGATATCATGTCTGCATCTTATATTATGAACAATCACTACGAAGACAACAATATGCAATGTACAAATTATTGAATATGTCCTATTAATCGGTTTTGAAACTGTCTCATTGCTATTTATTTCTCAATAAAATTAACAAAAAAGAATATTAGAGTAAACTATCAATGGAGCATTCCTAACTTGAAAATATGAATCCAAAATCCAAAATTTATATCAGAGGATTGCACACTTCACACTTGGAGGTTGGGGAACAACTTTTATCAGTATTTCTTTTTTGTATCATCTCATAACTTGTAAATAAAAAGAAAAAAGTTATAGACTTTTTTAAAAAATCCACTAATATCTTTGGGCTGGCAATGAAGATCCATGACAGAATACTTTCTTAGCATACATAAGTCCCTAGATGTGATCTCCATCACCACAAAAATATCCGCTAACATCTTTAAGCAAGATTTTATTTGAGGCTAGTGTAGTTTTTTTTTTCAGTTGTAAAAAAAATAACCCAGAGAATACTTCATCAGGGCATGCTAGTGCCTGCCTGTGGTCCCAGATAATCAGATTCAAGTTTGAGTTCACTAGTTTGAGATCCCTGTCAGAAAGACAGAGACACAGAGACAGAGACTGAGACAGAGAAATTGAAATCATGTACAGTATACCTAGCTTTTTCCAATGGTAAAATTGTACAAATTTTAAATACATCAGAGCAGAGCAAGGATATCAACAATGATAAATAAGGATTAAAAAAAATTTTCCAGGGGCTGGCAAGTTAGCTCAGTGGTCTAAAGTGCCCACTTAGGCAGGCTTAGGCAGCCACAGAGGACCACGGTTTGATTCCCAGCACTACATGCCACACCAGCCTCCATCATCACAATTTTTAATGTTGCCCTTCCAAAGCCACACATCCATCCCACCTACCCTTCTCAGCTGAAAGTTCACCCTCCTGACATCAACAAATTTTTTAGGCATTTCTGTAACTTCGGCATTTCAAAAATAATATATACATGATACCATAGAGTATCTACAACTTGGAGATTGTCTTTTTTGCATCAGTCTAATTCTCTGGGGATTTGCAGGTAATCAATATTTTGTTTCTTATTGTTTTCTTGCAAGACATGGGTTATTTTTGATTTTTCATTATTACTAATAAAGTTGCTATGAGCACTTGTCTCAGATATTTGCATTAATATATTTTTCCTTCCTTTGTACTACACAGGAGTTCAACTACTAGATTATATAGCAATACTGTGCTTTAAGAAACTTCCAAACTGCTTTCCAGAGTTGCTGTATCATTTTCTGCCCCTATCAACAATATATGAGTGATCCAATATCTCTGGATCCTTCCTAGCATTTAATATTGTTAATAGTCTTTTATTTTAGGTACTCTGATAAACACCTGGGGATATCACATTCTGGATTTAATTTGCATCTTCCTAATGTTCCTTGGTTGAACATCTTTTCATGTGCTTATTTGCCATGTGTATATCCTCTTTGGTAAATTGCCTATTCACATCTCTTGCACATTTTCTCCCTGGATAGTTTCCTAAAGAGTTTTGAGAGTTCTTCACAAATACTAGGTAACAATGCTGTGCTGAAAATGTGACTTGAAAATATTTCTTCCCATCTGCAATTTGTCCTTCTGTGAGTCTTTGGGGGAGCAAAACAAAAATTGGTTTTAATAAAAGCCAGTAAGCCAATTTTCCCTTGTAAAGCATGTTTTCTTATCAAGGTTAGGCACTCTTAGCTAGCCCTAGATGCAGTAGCTTTTTCCTATGTTGTTTCTGAAAGTTTTATGGTTTTACATTTAAGCCTATGAGCCATTTGAGTTACTTTTATGTAGGTCTGACACTTATGTAGACGTTCTCTCTTTTTCTCCCCTTTGACTATTCACTTTTGCCAGTACCATTTGTTGAAAAGATCATCAATCATTACTGAATTATTTTTCCCCCTGTGTCAAGTGTGTTGGGTATATTCACGTAAAACCATTTCTGTATTTTCTATTCCGTTACAATTATCTGCCAAAACCACACAATTTTTTTTAAAGAGAGTACAAATTAGAATTAAAACAAAAATTTACAAGTGATACAGAATTCCACTTAACAAAGTAATATGAATTTCACAGTAATACTATACAATCTTGATCACTGGACCTCTGTAAATCTTGACCTATATAAAGTACACTACTGCCTTCCACTTTATTCTTCTTTTTCAAAGTTATTTTA